GCATTGAAAAAGGCCAGTCTTGTTTTCATTGTGAGTACTGGGGACGGGAAAACCTAGGCTGTTGGTGTTCCCAGGGAGCCTTGATTAACATGTTTCTGACCAGGTAAATAAATGTGGAGGGTAGCTCTCCTACTTTGACATACTGTGTTCCGATGGCTCCAGTTGCATGCATAATTGTGCTACAGTCACACAAATATTCAAGACCTATGTAAGCATTTCCTTGTGCTGTCTCAAAGAGGAGTAAAGCTGTGTAGGCCAGAGCAGGTGACTATGCCCTGAAGGAAGCTGCAGTCCGTGGAGAACCCATGCTGGAGCTGGCTTCAGGCAAGAGCTGTGGTCCGTGGAGAGGAGCCCACAGTGGAGCAGGTTTTCTAGCAGGACCTGTGACCCTGTGGGGGACCTATGCTGCAGCATTCTGTTCTTAATCATTTTGGTTGGAAAAAACCTTTAAGATTGAGTCCAGCCTGCTGGGGGACAGGGGGTGTGAGAGAGTGGCTTGGTGGCCACCTAGCAGCCAGACAAGGTTAACCCACCCCAATCAAGTAAAAAAATGTTTTCTTTTTAGGTGGACAGCATGAAGTTGTAGCTCTAGGAACAGGAGAATGTAATTACAGTCAGTGCTTTCAACCTTGTGGAAGAGTGTTGCATGACAGCCATGCCATTGTTATTGCAAGACGTTCTCTGCTTAGGTGAGAATGTGTGTGTATAAATAGGTACCAGTTCTCTTGCAGCCAGTTCTTTTCAGTTTTACTTTCGCAAATGTAAATGTAAGCGCACTTGCGTTTTATATTTAGTACCTTTTGCGCTATTTTCAAATCGTGTGAATTCAGTGTGAATGTCCATGTATTCGTAAACAAAGTAGTGTTTCCCACGTTTACTGTTACTTAACGTCTTTTCTTTTTTTTTTTTTTTTTTTAGATATTTTTATAGACATCTTTTGCTGTTCTATAATGAAAATCCAAGGAGGACAGAGAAATCCATATTTTGCACAGCACCGGGCTCGAAGCTGCTTACCTTAAAGCAAAATACAACTATCTTTCTCTACATGAATCAGCTTCCAAAAGGAACTGCTCAGTTAAAATCACAGGTGTAAGTACCTTGGTATTCTCAGAGATGGTGTAGTGGAAGATTAATTTGTTTGCAGTTACAAACACATCGTGAGTGTGGAAAATATGCACTGTTGCATGTTTCTAAGATGGGGGGGCTATTCTATTTATTTTTTTTTTTTTTTTGATGTTTTGGAAGCATTAATGTACAGGGTGGTAGTGGTAAGTGAGATACAGCTCAACATGACAGGACAAAGCCCTTTTACAGGGGTTATAGGTTCAGGGTGATGCTTTGTTTATTACAGGTACCTGCTTACCCATTAATCCCCCTCCCAAGATACTGTTAAAATACTAATAAATCATTAACTGAACCACTGAGCAAGTGGATGTGGTGGCTTAATACCATCCTTTGTACCACAGGGCTGGAGTATAAAAAGCCTTGATTTGAAATAGTAGGCTGGGCTCTGCTTTGTAGAAAAAGATAGTGAGAGAAGCTTGATGAGACAAATAGACTTCTGTGCTCATCTTTGCACTTATTACTTTTGTTAAATTTCTGAAATTTTTTTTTTTTTTTTTAATAATTTTGACATTTAACAGGAGGCAAGCCACTGATTTACCAAGTTACTATGAACAATGTTATTTTGTGTCCCTTATAGTGGTGCAGTGGAATGAGGTCCCCGGAAGTTGTACAGTCATAACTTTTTCATATGTATAAGAGAGCTAGCTGCTTTCATACTGTATTTGGGGTGTTCAGAAGGCAGACTTGTGAACTGGAAGTCACAGCCAGTTCATTGCAAGCTGTGCTGACTGGGGGAGCCCCTCCTGTTAGAATTGCGGAAGGCTTTAGATTACTTTCAGTGTCGTAGTCTGCTCCTGCAAGGAAATGGTTGATGAGACTGGATGCAGTTTGTAAGCTACTCTGTAAAAGCACTTTCTCTTGCTTTTTGTCCATTTTGGTGTGCGTCTCTTGAGACAAACTCTGGCAAATCTTTTCTTCTAATACAGCAGATTTGCCTATGTATAGAGTTATTTAAAGATAGTTTTTTAGAAGGGAGCTACTTGCAAGTAATTCACTGTGTAGCAAAATGAAGCCACTTATTAACATGCTCTTAAGCCAAAATTAAATGGTTGCTTTATAATAATACAGTAAAGCAAAAGCAACTTCAATCATAACATTGTGAGTTACAATAAAATTGGGGAGAGTTAGTTCAAAACTTCAGGCTTTGACTTCTTATCCCCTTTTAGTTAAGGGGAAAACTATGTTTTGCTTCAGAACAATCACTGTTTTGTCTCCCTAATGTGTTACATCTGCTTGTTTTAAATGTTTTGAAGAGTTGCAGTGTAAGCTATGTTTTAAAGGAGATAAGCAACCTTACAGCTGCTTTTTCATGAGAGGAACAGCCTCCAAGTAACTTCTGTCATAGTGTAAGTAGACACAAAGTGATAGCTTGTTTGCAGCATATGCTGACCTTTTTTAATGTTTGCAGAACTGATGGCTAAGATTAGGTTGAATTCCTCTTTCTTATTTAAATATTGATTCCACTATTCTAGTCACTTGAGCAGCTGAATTCGTAAATTCGAAAATTTAAAAATATTGAATGTAATGTAAGACCCAGATCTATTGACAGTTGTTTTCTGAGGAAGAATATGAGATACTACTTTACCATAACATCCGACTAGAGTAGTTTCTGACTGAAACTAATTTTTTTGTCTTACTTTAGACATCTCAATCCACAATCTATATCTGCTTACGAAACTAACGAAGAACTGAGTCTCCATGTTGCTATAGAAGGCAAGATTTACCTAACGGTTTGTTGTCCACCTAAAACTGTTAGAGCAAGCAGCATGTCAGCTAGTGACAAATTAACAAAATGGGAAGTGCTTGGTGTTCAAGGAGCATTGCTGAGTCACTTCATTGAACCAGTGTATATCAGCAGTATTCTTGTAGGTAAGCTTAATGCAAATTTCAGTGGGGTTTTTTGTATGTTTTCATGTTCCAGTTTGATTATGGTCTATAAAACACGAACTAACCAAGACGGTTCTTTAAACAATTACAGTATTTTTCTGAAAAGATACTAAGTGTGTATATTTTTTTTTCACTCATCTTTGAAGTGCCCTGATGTAAAATGCAGTTAGGCTCACTCTTTTGTCGTTGTGGGTTTGTCATAGCTTGCCAGATTGCCCTTCCTTTATTATGTATTAGAGTAACAGAAGAAATTGTTTTGTTTTGTAACAAATTAGATTTTAGATATTGAGAAAATACCAAGTGTGACAACTGCTATGTTAACTCTTCAGTCAAATATGGTGACTTTACAGTAACAACGTTAGCCACTTAACTGTAGAATTGAGCAATGGTCGAAAAACTGTCAGTATTTAACTGAAAATGCTCAGTTTCACCCTGGGGTATCTTACAAGCTCTATTGGAAAGTCTTTGTTCAGTTTTGTGTTGTGTCCGTGGTCTGCGCTGCCCTTCACCTTTTGTGTTGGTTAATGCAAATAGATGTTTTGTTGAGGAATAGGGATTACCAAGGTGATAATGAATTCTCAGGATTTTGTGGCAGTCAGGAAGACCATACTATTATCAGAACTCATTTCAATAGCCTTTATTTATGTGGTGACATTAAATTAATGGCTATTATCCTGAAGGTTTCTTCCTCTCTGTATTTGTATCATGAGACGTAGTACAGAGATGTGCGAGTTCCCCAGACATTGAAGATACCGCAGCTTTTCCTTTACTAACACAGAACAAGGTTTTTGAAGTGCTCCAAAAGATCTTGCAGGAATTGGTGAATGCCTGCCTGTTTATTCTGAGGAGGTTTGGGCGCTTTTACTTAACAGTAAAAACTTCTAATATGCTTGCTTAAGTGGTATTCAAAGAAAACATAATAATCTATAATGTATTGCCCATCTATTTAATAAGAAGTCTGTGACATTGAGATGCTATGGACCAAAGTATGGTTATTTAGTAGGCAGTCAGAGATACCGTTGAATGCGGAGTCATGTGGGCAAACTCCCTAGCATATTTTCTGATCTAGAACATGAAAGTTTATGTTGCAGCTTCTATTTTAACAGTGTTTTCTGCAAGGAATGTAAAGAGTTGTTAAAGAATAATTATTCCAAAGAGGAGGCATCCAATGAAAATAATGATGCTTCTGGAGAAGAAACTGTGAAATCATTTTTGTTCTGCAAACTGCATATTGGAACTGATTTTTCCAAACATTAATTTTCTGTAAAAAAATGAATGTAATGTAGACGAATGGAAACTTCTGGATTCTTAGCTTTTTTTTTTTTTTTTTACCCTTAATTTGATGTACTTACACTTGACTGATCTTGTTTTTTTAATAGGAAATGGAAATTGCAAGGATACAAGAGGGCTAGAAATAGCTATAAAACAGCGTGTTGATGATGCATTTACATCAAAGCTTCCCATGCCTTACCTGGTCAACAGATCTCATACTTACTTGGTGAATGCTGCACACCCAGTTCAAACAGACTTTAAACAGAGGTCTCTTAGCTTGAATTGGTCATTGTCAGATGCATCGCTGGAGGTTGTGGATGGGATAAACGGAAAAGCCACTGAAAGGTTAGAATTTTTCTTCATTATGTTGGAGATACTGGTTAACCTTATTGGTTTGTGCCAGTTCATTGGACTATTCATTTTTTCAGCTCTGCGTGAAGGCCACAGTATTAGCCAAATGAGAGAGATTCTCTCCTGTGTTAGGCGAATGGATCCCATGATTAGATAATAGTTTTAGAGGTCTTGTAACTTTACAGTCAGATACCAAGACATGAAATTAAATAGTTCTTTAAATTGAGGTATCTTTATTCCATTGCTTCTTGTAGTGAATGTCTTAGTTTTCACAATACATAAAACCAATTAGCATCCTAGTTCAGATGAATTCCAGTTTGAAAACCAATTTTGGTTGGCTTGTTTAAACACAGCTGTTGATCTGCATTAGCTTTGGTCATTGAAACTGGAAGTAGAATCATACGATCATATTCACAAAGCATTAGAGGGGGGGAAAAAAAAACCCTCTGTAATGATCGAAGCAATATACCTGTAGTGTATTTGTTACTGAGTTTTATTATTCTTTTTTCATCTTGACTATAGTTCCCCATTCAAAAGTGGCACTTACATGGCAAGTCGCCTTTGCAAGGCAGCAATGTTTAGTCGTTTCAAATCACTTGCTAAGGAAGCAGAACGAAATGATTTGCTTCAAGTTGCAACATACCATGAAGCTAAGGTAAGGTGGTATAGCAGAGTGGGGAGAGTTTTGGTAAGGACTCTCTTAATGGCTGCTCTCCAAACTGGTTTGAGAGCCAGGGTTGACTTTCGTTTTTGCTGAAGACATCAGCTGAACAGCTGGATCTCCTTTATTGCCTATAATCTTTTCCTGAGAATGTCTGAAATTGCTGTTTTCGCATAAAATTAATCTACTGAATTAACCTTGAAACATTCTCTATGAAAATCTGCCATGTTTTGTCTTAGCGTATGGAGGTTGCTGGCCATTTTCCTCCTATAAGATAGTTTCATATTAAAAAGGTTGGGTTTTTTTTTATTCATTCATTCGTTTTCAGTCTTACTTTTTGTATTAGTTTCACATATATGTAGATATTTTTCTACCGCGGTGTAGTCTAGTGGGAGGATTCTTACAGCATAGAGAAGTAGGAATTGTTCATCAGAAGACAGCTTTAGGTTCCAGGCTTTCCTTTGTGGTATAAAAATACAGAGCAATAACTTAAAGGAGCTACTGTGATTCTTGATTGCTGTAAACACAGTTCACTCACTTCTGCCCATACTTGGAAATACGTACACTCATCTTACCTCTCTATACTTTTCCAGGTTTTTTTTTCTCCTTGGTTCAAGAGATATATTTTATTTCCAGCTGTAAACACAGTTCACTCACTTCTGCCCATACTCGGAAATACGTACACTCATCTTACTTCTCTATACTTTTCCAGGTTTTTTTCTCTCCTTGGTTCAAGAAATATATTTTATTTCCAAAATTGTTACGTGAAACCTAAGCTTCTATAAAGTACAATTATTTTCTTTTTCTTCCTGTCAGAATATGCAAGAGATCATTTTTTTAAATGATTCAAAAGCTACTTTAAACTAGAATGGCTTGCTATTTGACTGCTCATGATGTGTTTAGATTTGCATTGAATGATAGTGAATGTTTATTTTCTGTGTAAATGTATTATTGGAACCGAAAAGATGCTGAAAACAATAGTGTAACCATAATTCTTGAGATCTTTCAAGATCTTTCTTTTTCTTTTTTTAGATTCGATCTGAATTGTACCAAGAAGCTAAAAAGTTGCTGCAAAGCTACTTAGAGCAACATAGTTATGGATCCTGGATTGTGAAGTCTCCGCATGTCGAACAGTTCAGTGACTGACTGTGAGGTGGATTGTATGTGAAGTCAGTTTTGATGATTTCTTTCAGTAAAATGTAATTCTGTAGTAAAATGTTTAACTGTAGGGTTCATGTTTGCCACAAGAAAATCATTTCAGAGCTGCTGCTTGTCAATTTAAATGCAGTTATTAAACCATCTGTAACAGTTCAGTCTTTTCCAAAAGTTGACATTTTCTCACAGGTGGGAGTATCAAACAGCTTTGCAAATCTGTTTTGTTTTGCCCCCCAGTGCCATCTCATTTCTGCTCACTCACCCCCAGTCCCACCCCGTGGAGTTATTAACATGTTTTTTTCCTGTTAGTTTCAGGATTGCTGTGTACTGATTTCTTCTTTTCCCCTGCTTTTTTCATAACTGTCTTTAAGAAAGAAAAAAAAATTAGTAGCAGTTGGATTTCTTAAAAAAAAAAAAAGTATACCAATGTGAGAATTACTTTCAGAAATAAACTGGCAATCTGTGCTTTTTCTGTAGGCATCCTTTCCTAGTCATTTTCATACTTTTGTTTAGCATGGATTTGCCAAGTAGCTTGTAGTTTACTGTATATCATTGGTGGTAGAAGTGTTAAAAAATAATCTGTGTACTTCCAAATGTGAAGCTTTGAATCGCCAAGCTGTTACTCAACTGTTTGGTGACAATCATTATTTTTGGTAGTGGATTTAAAGCATTTTAAAGGCATCAAAGCTGTAAATAACAAAACAGTATGTAGTGCAGAAGCTACCGGAAACAAGGTTCCTTCAACTTTTGTGGGCTGCCCCCAAAACCATCAGATGTCAGCGCTTGGTGATTAGTTGGACTCCACCCGCAGGCTGCTTTATCACTGTACTGGCCGAGTCCTCGCAAAGTTGTCTGCATGCATCGTAATCTGAAAAATGTTGCCTATGGAGAGGGAAGTTGCTTCCTTGTACGTTCTGCTGAGAGTATGGTAAAGTTATGATAATGTTTGACAGGACATTGTTAAGTGCCATACTTAGGTTTTGTGTGGTGTTGTGAAATAGTAGTGTATTTGAGCTAGGTAGTACAGTTGATGTTTTTGTCTATCGTACAAGTGTGGGAAGCTGTTATGTCATGTTTTCACACATCAGTAATAGCACAGCGCTGTAGTCATGTTTCAGCTTCTTATTGTAAGAGAATTCTAAAACAAAAGCCTCCTTCTGGTGTGGTTTTTTTTCCCTCAATCTGTTTTTCTAACTAGTATGTTGAGTGTTTACTGGAGACAATCTTCTGTTGATTTCAAGTTGTTGAAGCTCACCGACTTACCACTAGCCTGTCCTTGGCCTTTTTTTACTATTCTGCTCTTGTTTTCTGTTACTGTCTTTTAACTAGGGGGTGTGGTGGTGTGCTGTTGTCTTTTTGTGGCACGTGCACCATGTAAGATTTGCTCCATGTCATGTTTTCTTTCTAAGAAATCTTGAGAATGGCCATCGTATTCCAGGCTAGAGCGTAATGTTGCCTTTTTTGAGTATTAAAACTTCAATAAATTTCCCTGACAGTGTGTTAGCTTTTTATACACTTCTGGACCATTTTTCTGTATGGACTCAAGACTTTTGCTGAGTCATCACCACCAAGGCGTTTTCTGTAGCTAAGCTAGAAGCCTTTAAATATGGACAAGTAGCTGAGCTTTTTTTTATTTTTGTGTACTTCAGCTATTTTATTAATTGAATAGCAGACCAAAATGTCTATGAAACTTGAGTTCCTTCTTCAGAGGAGAGAAGTTCCGTTGTGAAAAAGATGCATTGTGTTGGGCATGAAAGGTGTAGCCCTGAGAAATGAGTTGATGGCAGCAGCATGGATCCAGGTCTTGTACCTTGGTTGCTCTTTAAGTAAGAGCATACACAGAATGCACTGAGCCAGTAAATGTAAGCATGTAGGCGTTCTACCTAGGGTTTTTCCTCAGCTACTTCAGTAATTCCAAAATGGGTGGTTCTACAGGCTTGAGAGAGGCAAGGGTGCTGCAGTTCCAGTCATGAGACTGAAGATGTATTGTGGACAGGTACACGCACACAGAGCCCGTATAGATCTACATACATATGTGGCTGGCTGCACAGACCGGCAGCAGGCATGTGAACAGGAACAGCACTGACAGCTGCAGAGGGAGACCTCAGCCTCTCCCCTCCCTGCCTGAGAAGGATTGAGGGCCACGGGTGAGAATATGCATACACATGTGTATATGGGGGTGTGTGTGTGCATGCATATGCTCTCTGTATACATACACACGTGAACAGACACACCTGCTATACCTATACACATATACATCACAAGTGACATACATGTAACTTACCTGTTGCGTTGAGCATTGTGCGTGTCTGACGTCACATGTTGTATGTCGCTTGTATGTTGCACATCACGAGCGCATGTTGTGCATCATGTCTTGCGTGTCGTGTTGCATGTCATCGCATGTCTTGCGTGTCACATTGCGCACATCACACATTGCATGTCGTGTGTCGTGCACATGTCAGAATCGGAATTGAAGAGGCCTTGTGACTACAAGCATGTGCAATACAAGCAACTTCCTCCTATTGTTCCCTCAACTAGCCAGATGTATCAGCAGTCATTCTAGTCAAACAGTCTCTGAAAAGGTCTCTTGTAGCACTTGTTGGAGGTGCTATGTGGGGAGCAAGCCAGCCAGAAAATGTTTTGAAAATCCACAGCAGAACTCTGGCTACTGTACAAAAGTCACATGGCAACCCCTAAAACTAATGCCAGCATAGCCAAAACCTCTGCTTTCCATGACTATAAACCTGCAGCTGTCTCAAAATATTGCAGCCTAACTCCAAAGCAGTTTGTGCAGACCAAAAAACCAGAAAATGACATGCATATATTTTCACGCTGCATGTTTATGAAATGGTTAGTGAGCTATGGCTTCTATCCTTCCATATGAATGCATGGGTAAGTAACTACCATCAGTTCTTGGTTTCTGAAGTACTTCATCCTAAGACCCTGCCTTACCTAATGCTTACTGTTCAGGGATGTAGTTCTTGGTTATTCCACATGGGATGTCCAACTGTATGGATTGACCCCAAGGTAGGTTTTACCAAATCTTCAGAGTTGAGGTTTCTCATGCTTGAGCAAACGATAAGGATGGCCTCATGTATTAACAGGACTGTGTTCAATGAAGACTGCTCCTGTACCCTCTTTCTGATTGCTGAGAGCTGGAGCAGCAATGCAGATAAACATGTGTGGCCTGATGTTGGAAAGTGTTTGTCTACAAAGCCACATGTTAGGTGTGATGCTGTTATTTCAGGGTGCAGCCTTCTGCTGTAGATGACAGACTTTAGGTGCAACTCATCAAAAAGTTACAATGTTTATTAAGTCACCCAGTAAAAAAAATAAAATGATGGATAACCTAAAACCACACCATGATTACTGAGTTACAACTGCATGATTTAGTATGTTTTTACAAGCGTAAATCTACTAATTCTTGACCTTAAATCGTATAAACTGTGTATCTTTACTATTGAACTCTATTTTCATTCCATCCCTAATACTCAGCATTTTAGAGTGCAGGTCAGCTCCCCTCTGCCCCCCCTGCCCCCCCCCCAACCTTAGAACAGCATCCAACACTAAGTCTTTCAGACACAGAGCTGCTGGGCAGTCCAGCAGGTGTTCAGGGGGGGCTCTGGATTTGACTCTGCAGGTTAGTGTCACTGCTAGGCAAGCTCAGCCTATTTGGCTTTACTGATGTGATCAGTTAGGTATAGGTGGTATTGCAAGATTCTGCGTACCAAAATTCCTCTACAGTTGGCAGTATTAGTCATAAGTCAGTAGTATTCATGTCACTCTTGCATCCTTATAGGTGTTTTTAAGACTAGTCTCTGACTTTGTCTCATAGGCTCAATGCTTACTGTTTTAGTCTTTAAATACTGCCTCGCTTTGTTTAAAGGAGATTTTGTTTTCATTTTTTTTGCATGCTGCTTCTAAGACTTCATCAAGTAAGAAGGAATCTACGTAAAGAGAAGCAGCATTCTACAAAGACAGACAAGGTAGAATTTTTATGAATAGATTTCTTGCCTGTTTTGTATATCATACAGTATTTAGGCACTACTGTTGTTACAGGCTGTCATTTGGAAGGCATCTGATTTGAGAAGAGGGTGGAGCTGATCTGTTTGTGGCTGGGATGACTGACAGTATTTTGCTTTTCTGAGTCCTTGTGGGTGGGGACAGAGCACTCCTTCGCTGTGGGAAGGGAAGATAAGTAGAGCAACAGACAGCAGCGCTGTAAGTATTTTCCCCAGTTTTGGCAGAAAGCTATCACTAACGCTTATTTTCTTTTTGCAGCATTCAAGAAAACTGCTGTTTTTTCCATTGTTAGTCTGTTTTTAAGTGAAATACTCCATACCACACCCACCAGCAAAACACATCAAAGGCTAAACGATAGGCTGATAACTGTTGTAGTAGGCTTGCTTTCATCAATCACAGCTCACGTTGTTAGCATTGTGTGGTAGGCTTTGGATTGTAAAAGATGCTCTTAGTTGTTTCTTTCTGCATGAAACTTATGGTGTCACATGACTGACTCCATCTTCATTTGAAGTAAGCAGGCTTCTGAGGTTCCTCAAAAAGATTTTTGTGGATGCTTAAGGCAGTATCTGTTCACATGGATTTATACATTAATCATCAATTTTATGTCAGTTGTTGCTGGAAACAATTGGCTGTGTAAGTGTTCTGGGACATTGGTACCTCGTGTACTTGCATAATTATTATTTCAGGTGCATTATTGTTATAATACTGTTTCCCTGACTCTGAAAATTTTTGCGAACTACGTGTTTTGCTTACAACAATGAGAAAAATATATCCTGGAAGAAAATACAGCAGAAAGCCTGCGTAGCTAAGTAGGACAGCTCACAAAAAAAGTTTGGGGTTTTGGGTTTCTTTTTTGAGGGAAGAAACTCGGTACTGTTACTTCTATACCTTGTGCTGTATGCGACCATAAACTGATATTTTACATTGCTTTAAAAGGTTATCTGCAGGTGTCTTGTTCTGAGTATGGT